GGGGGGGAGGGGGGAGGGGTAGGGCAGAGTGTCTATGTTGTTCAAGCTATGAGTTCCTGGACTAAGGTGATCCTCCTGCCTCTGCGTCTGCAGCATCTTCAGTTATAGGTGTAGTCACATGTCCCACTCAGGACTGTATCTTTTGATATGTGAAATTCCAGTGTAAGTAGACTGTTGCTATGACCCAGGAAAAAGAGTTAAGCAGACAGCAAGCCTCCTTTCTGAAAAGGACAAATAGACTCCAGCAGAGCCAGAATTTCTGAAGCACACAGGCACACACACTGGGATCAAACTTCAGTGTGGGGGCTGGGAATGTAACCCAGTAGTAGAGTGCTGGCTAGCATGACAGAGTCCTGGGTTCTAAGCCCACAGCTGTAAAACAAACAAACAAACGAGTGAATAAAGAGGTGATTGTTAAGGATTAAAGTAGTGCTTTAACTGACAGCCTTTCTTCTCTCTGAGCCACACCCTCTCCGGTGCCCAATGGGCAAGCTGGAACCGAATAAAAATGCTACAGGCTTGCTGTCTGCGAGCGAGCAAACAGGACATTGGAAGGGAAGAGAGGGGCCTTCGTCCTGTTTCATTCCCTTTAAGTAGGTGGAACATTTTCTGTGGGGTGACTGTGACAAGCCTTGGGCCCCAGGTTGTTTTATCACAATTTGGCAGAACCTCAAGCAAATCCCTGTCCTTTTTTAATCCCTCCTGAGACCTGAAATTTTTCAGTCAGAAAGTCAAGCTTGTGAATGGCTGCGAGTGAGATAAAAATGCGGTTAAGATTTTCACTCGATCCCAAGTTATAATAACTGTTATTCTATGAGAGTTTCTCTGAAGAAACAGAGTAGCTGGAGGCTTACCGGGCAGCCTGAGCTTCCCACAGCAGGAGTTGCAGCGATGTTTTGCAATGAAGCTTCTAATTGCATCTTCCCCTAAATTGGCCGGTCCAAACACCATCCCTCTTGATCTAGAGGAAATATCAGAATATCAATTAGATCACAGCTGAGAAAAAGGAGTCCAACTAGGATTCTCTGAGATTGCGAACAGTATCCCATAGTAACCTAGCCACTTAAAGGAGCCAACAAAGAACAGAGCACTTTGGGGGAAGTAACAATGTTAGGTTTGCAAATTTAAAATTCAAATGCACTTAAATCTTTGTACCCAACTCCAAGACCTACTGTGAAACTCATTCCAACACTAATCTGATAGAAGAGTGAATTTTCGATGTGGTACATTAAAACAAAATACAGTGAAACCCTTTTTAATGCATATGGTGTGAGAGAAAGACATTCATTATCATATGCTCTACTAAAACACCCCAAAGGTAAAGGAGAGAATAACTTTGCTGTGGCATACACCTTCTAAAAAAAAGGCACCTATGCACTGCTATGCACCCAAATACTTTTCTGAAAATGACTCTTCCCAAAATCAAACACCTCACTGGACACCAGAGCACCTAGATTCCTGGCTTTTTAAAAGCCACTTTTGACTGTGCAAACTGTTTTAACAGAGCTCTTTGTGGAAAGCCAAGACAGCTATTAGCCAAAAAGTTTGTGAAAAGAGACGGCAGATGCCCAGAGTAAGTAATAGAATTAATTACAAGTAGTGTTGGTATCTCTGAGACACATTTTGAACTTTCTAATATAAAGATTCTCAGCAGATGCTAGACATGTTCTGCATACGACCATTACTCTTGAGACTTTGACCCTCCCCGTGACACAGGACGGAGCACACAGAAATGCCTCCAAAGAAAGCTTATGAAAGCTAATATTTCATTTTAATGACATGCACAGTGGAAACAGCACATTTTAAAATCTGAACTCAATTACCGCTCTTAAATACCACGTCTTAAGTGGGGGAAAAGCACAGCAGACTATCACAAAGGGAAACAATAAACTTTGCTTCTGAGGAATGTGGTTTTTCAAAAGGGACATGGTGTAAAAATGGACTTTTTTTCCACCCGAGGATTGAAACATTTATCTCAATTTCCACTTCCTTTTGGCAGAAGAACAGTGGCTCTCTGAAGATGTGCCAAGCTCAGGATGAGGGCTGATGTCAATTTGATCTCAGATTGCCTCCCGCTCCGTGCCGGGTAGGTGGAGAAAGCCTCTGGGGAAGGCAGACTAGAAAGACACTGGGGATTAACTTTCCTGGTCACTCAATCGATCTCACAAGGCACAGCTCTGGTGGTATTTACCTGGCAGCATAAGCTGCTTCTTGTTTAACTACGCCTGGATTTCAGTCCAGCTAGAGAGACACTACCTTAGTCAGGTGAAACTACTGAAGGTGGCAAAAAAAAAAAAAAAAGGCAGACTCACTTGGTTTTTAGATCAGAACTCTAAGATCTGATAAAGTGAGAGACAAAGGTATTTGTTCAGCCATTAGCATGGAAAATGCCCTTTGGAGTTTCTGCATGACCTCATTGGAAAATTTCACTTGTTTGCATCCCCCAGGAGCCATTTCTGTCACCCCAGGGAGGCATAAAGACACCCAACTAAGATATAATACCTTCAAGTAAAATATGGAAGCTATTTGCCTCTATGAGCTGTGTGAAAGTAAAAAATAAAATAATCAAAATCACTACAAAATGTGATTTTGATCAGGGTCAAAAATCCCAGAGCAGGGAGAGAGTGATGTAGGGACATTACATTTGCAACTACACTGCATACATAGCATGCTCCGAGTCTTGCTGTCTCAGATAACTAAAATTTCAAAGAAAACACAACTAGCTGTTTTCCAGATTTTTTTTTAACAACACAGTTAAAGCAGTTGGTAGCTTGGTTCTACATACAAAGAAAGTCCAGTTAGTGCCCTCTGTACACAGTCACTAAAGAATATCTCGTCACTAGTTCACACTTGTCAAATGCTCAAAACCATCAGGTAAAAACCAGTGGGCTAAAAAGATACAGTTCCAAACTACCAATCAACGAGGCATGTTAGAGAGGGTTAGGAACAGTGGGAGGAGGCATGAGCAAGGCTATTAGAATTATTCTCTAAAGCATCATCCCGTCTCATAGAAAACTGTTCCCTTCTGATGATTCTTTCCCATCACAAGAAAGTTAGAACCTTAAGTGAGTCTCAGTTTTCTCATGTGTGAACTGATATCAAAACTAACGGAGTTGTTACATGGGTGAAATTAATTGCTTAAATCTGTGCACCTCCACCTTGAATTTATACTGGTTCACCAGAAGAATTCATGAAGGTTTACATTCTGGTTCATTAGATACAGAGAAGGCTCAAAGAGCGTGCATTTCCAGCATTCTCCCTGGTGGCAATGTTGACCTTTGGCTCAGACTTGGTTTAACAAAGATTTCACACTCACGGGCATCATTGATTAATTAGATATAGTTCTAATGGAACTAACGAGTTGAGAGTAAAATCAAACTTAAGGTCATTGTGCAAAACAAATCCACAGAGTTGGGCATTCCCACAATGAAACCACTCGATTCGTTTCAGGAGAGGCTGTCCTCAAGTCATGGAAAATAAAGCTGCCATAATAATTTCATAGAATTACATTGAGGGAGTTAAAAAAAAAAAAAAAGGACAGAAGGGAGGGCCCTATTCAGACACTGCAATAGAATGCCAAGCGTAAGCATGGTTTTTTTCAAATTCGCCATGTGACCTTAATAGAAATTGAAATCCACTTCCTATAGAATGCAATTACATACCTAACTGTCAAGTAGGATAATATAATCTTAGATTCTAAAAAGATGGAGGATTCAGGTCATATTAAGTGATATATGCCAAGGTCAGATTTTAATGAACAATAGACAGAATACACATAAACTCAGTTCATTATATATGCAAAAATTCTGCACTGAAAAAAAAATTGTAAAGAAAGTTCTCGTAGAGAAAAAACAATTCCTAATACAAGCCCTTGAACATACAAGACTGCTGACCAAGTAATGTGCTTAGCTGAAAACACCAGCTCTGCTAAACTAAAAAATAAAACAGTTCATTATACTCACAAATCCAACATGGACTTGATAGTCAAACAGATATCACAGGAGTTGGGTGATGCACAAGAGCACTAGGATCATCTGCATCTTCCCAAACCCACCCAAGCCAACAATACCTAAACATACTCTTAGTAGATGAGCATCTTCTCAGAGGACCCTGCTGATGGGCCACACTCACATTTAGTAAAATCATTCAGTCAAAGAATGGTGCAAAGCAGCATTGATTATTTAATGAGATCCAGGAGAAGAAAACAGTAAAACTTCCACATTTTACTGTGTCAGGAATCTTGACTGATTTAGCCCTACATGTTTTCTATGGCCCAGCCACCAAGTATAGGCCCTTGGTTTGACCAAAAAGTAACAACGTTAACCCAGTCTAGGTAGTATAATCTCAGCCCTCAGGAGGCAGAGGCTGGAGGGTCCAAAGCTCAAGGCCACCATGAACTATACACAGATGAGACTTCGCCCTAGTTTAAAAAGAAGTTCTTTAAGAACTAAAAGCGTTGTTCGACCCATGGCTCTCAAAGTGCCCTTAGTCCTCAGCATGGACCTCACCTGTGATGTGTTAGAAATCCAAATCATTTGGCCCTGCCTCAGAACAACTAGATCAGAAATTCTGCAAGCACAACTACAGCAACCAATTTTAACAAGTTCTCCTGTGGACCACATGGCAACTCATACTTAAAAACCACTGTAAAAGGCTTAGTGCCAAGTCCTCCAAAAACCAGAAAATGTCCTGGGAATTCAAAAGATGAGTGAATGATTCAGCCCTCTGTGTAGGTGGGCTCTGAATTAACCTATTCAATCTGATACCTCATATTTAAGCCCTGTGGCTTTAAGCTCTAATATCGTGATGGTTATAGGACAGCACTTGGTATTCCCACCTCCTACTTGGCTTGCCTGTAAAGTAGCTGGCTGGGAGCAGAGGCAGCCATTCCAACAGTGAAGACAGCAAAGGAAGCTACTTCTACTACTGCATTGTTTTTATGTCAAAGTAAACTCCCCAAAACAGGCCAATCTTATACCTTTCCCCTTAGGTTTAGACCAGTAGAAAACTCAAGAGTTGAATTTGCAACCAAAGTCTGGAGACTGCACTGACCATTATAATCTCTACTTATGCTTACTAACCCCAGCTCTAGAGTTAAATGTATTTCATTTTTATTCCTTCATTTTACTCATTTCCTAATTAAAGTGGCTTAGAAAATCTTGTTTGAAATAGGAAAGTCTTGACTTAAGTCTAAAAATCTTGTTTTACACCGATGTGCAGTAACTTTTGGAAAACTTTTCTGAGACATAAAAGACACATATGTTCTTAAAATCTTCTAAGAAACTCAGACAGACCTCCACTCAAAATGTCCTGCTCTTCCAAAGGAACTGGGGTTCAATATCCAACACCCACATGGCGCTCACAACTGTTGTTAACTCCAGTTCCAGGGAATGCGATGCCCTCTCCTGGCTTCTATGGAAACCAGGCACTCACAGGATGCATAAAGATACATTTGGGCAAAGTACTCATAGATATAATAATAAATCTGATTTCTTAAGTTTTGAAAACAGAACCTTTAAACATTATGTAATTTATGCAGATAACAAAACATTACATGATACACATTGATACATATAACCTTTATACTTAATGCAACAATTAAAAATAATGTTTAAAACATGAACAAACTGAAGGCACTCTTCTAAATTATAACACATAAGTCAACTCACTGTTTGTCTTCTGGTTTTATAACAGACGGATCTGTCAAATTTTCTCCAACACCTCAAAAGAAGAAACAAAATCCGTTTAGTAAGTAAGAGTTCGTTTTCTTAGAAATGCAGAAAAATAATAACCAAATTCTGTTTTCTTTTCTTTTTTTTTTTTAAGGTTATACTCAAACCAGATGTAGTGACTCACTCTCAGCACTTGGGAGGCTAAGGCAGGAGAACTGTCACCAGTTCAAGGCCAGTCTAAGCTATATAGTGAATTCTGGGCCAGTTGGATCTACACTGTGAGATCCTGTCTCATTCACTCCACAGTAAGTACATTGAATACAATGCTAATTAAAGGGGCTATGGAAACTGTTTGGGAAAGTTATTGGATATAGTGTCTCCTGAAACAGTCCCCTCTGAACTAATAAATACCTGGCCACAAATTAGTGTTTTAATGATGATAGTGGCATCAATCAGTAGATCTATGTATCTGCCACTCATTTTTCAGTTGTATGCGCTAGGGCAACTAGTTTTACTCTCTCTAATTCTCATGAAAGAAAAATATTATCCTCATATCCTCAATTTACATCTTATCCTCATTTACATCAATGAGTACATTGATGTTCAAAGAGATTGAGAAACTTGCCAAAGATTACTTATCCCAGAAGTGGCCATAACAGGATTAAAGCTGGGGAAATGCTGTGTTCCTCCCTCTAGTTCATGGTCTCCTTAGATGGCCTCCATCAGTGCTTAGCAAGGTCAAGATCCTGGGAAGTTTTGCAGGTACAGCCTCTATGCATCAAAGAGACACATCAAATGCTGTGTCTATATATAGCACTTATAAACAGTAGAACAAAATGACACCAAATTCTTGATGTGAGAGCTGCCTCCACCTGGGTGTTCAGTTGAGAAGATTCTTTGAGGTGTAGGCTTATGCTCTGTGTACTATGTGGGATGTATCTTCAATAAAGTTTAGTTTTGAAAGGAAAACAGCAAAGCGTACAGAGATAACATGGGTGCAATTTAAGGCTGAACTTAATCAGAACTGGGTTCAACACCCACAGTCAGCCTCTGTTACAGCTTGCATGTGGTGAGGGGCTAGTTTCCAACAGTGATGACAGTTTAGGGACAGCAATGAGACAACTAGGTATACCCAACAACTTTTGAGATCATCCCCTAACCGGGAGTTTTTTCCTCTGCTTGAAAGACATTAGCTTTGTAGGGTGATTATTTAAAAGTTGTATGAATTTTAGACTATTGCTATGTATTGCTACTTGTTGAGAAATGTTCTTGTTTTGTTAAAATGGAAGGGGGAAATATCAAGGGACCTCATCCCTAGACAAAGAACTACAGAAAACTAAGGACTGCTGAGAGACGAGAAAATTAGTCTTCTCCAAGGATGAGCTCAAACATTGGTTCCTTAATGCCATGTTGTCATCCCTGAAATCATATACATATGAGCAAAATCAAATAGACTCTGCATATTTATATTCATATGCTTGTGTCTCTCTCTATATATAATCAATACATATAATCAAAGGAAAATGACCATGATTTTGAAAGGGAATGGAGGAAGATACACGGGAGAGGTTGGAGGAAGGGGCCAAGAAGAGAATGGAGAGAGGAAAGGAACAGGAGGAAATAATATAATTATATTTTAATTAAAATAAAATGATTAAAAAATAAACTATGTATCTTTTTAAAAGCAAAAAGCTTGTATCTTCTAAGCAGTATCTTTTAAAAATTTCTGCTGTGTTCTCTGTCTTTTGGAATAGTAACCCTTTCACAGGAAACTGTAATCCTTACAGGCTTTTCTGTTAAGAAACTGATTTCCTTAGGAAAATAACTTGGAGTAGGCTGGAGCCTAAAGCAAAATTGTTCAGTATTTGTGGGGAGGGGGATGTTTCATGACTCTGTGAATCTGGTAAGGCTAAAGGGCCCTTTTTTAGGAAAGCTTTGACACATATCATTTAAATATATAAGACATAAAGGACACCAATGATCCTGAAAAAGTTATCAACATATTTTAACCGCTGTATTACAATACATACACGTGCTTCTTTATTATTACATTTGATGACAGGCTCTAACGTGGGTCGGCTACCCGCTAGCATATCTAACAAGTGATCATTACAAACAGTGTTTTTAAATAATCTGCCTGCATCCCAAGGTGCTGCATTAGTATCTACAGCTTCTCGTGCATCACAGTTGATGTCACTGTGGGCCGTGGTCTAGATTATAAAGGAAGATGGTAAATTCCAGATATGGGTTAGTGGCAATAAGTTAGAATTTAGGTTTTTATCACTGTTTGTGAACTCTCTGAGTCTACTCTTTAGCAAGCCCTAGCCTGGCAACTTCTCACACTGAGTTTGAATAGCGCAAGAAAAAGTTGGGCCGATACACAAACACAAGGGAAGTGTGACAATCAGACCTTGCTGAGCCCTTGCATTTTCAAAGCCATGGGAAGGAGTTCTTTGTGCTTTTCTTGTCACTTAGACAAGGAGCAGCTGAGGGAGCCCCTGCATCCCTACATCCATGGAGTGAACAAACTGAGTAACAGGCAGAAGTGTATCCCAGCACCAGGCCGACAGCTGCACAGCCTCTATCGTTTTAATTAAGCACAGGCTGAACTTGAAGCGTGGAGCTTATGACAGTGATTAAAGTTTTAGGCCCATGTCTAAGTAAAGTGTAAATTTAAGCCAGGACTATGTACAGTAGCCGAAGAAGCACTATCAGTTAGTAAAGAAGAAAATCTTTGTAGGGTTCAAAAGGGGGGAGGTATCTGTCTAAATTTCATTAGAGAACATTTAAATCTCATGGCTTGTTTAGAAATTATAAGACAGAGGCTTCACCCTGAGCTGTGCCATGTTCTGGCTGTGAGGCCTGGTACCCTACTTAATCTCTTTGAAGCCTGGTTTTGTCATCTAAAAGTGCAGCATCCCAGGGCAGCATCCCAGTGCAGCATCCCAGTGCAGCATCCCAGGCCTTAGCAGAGAGGGCTGCTGAGAGAATTCAATGAGCTGTATCTGACTCATACGAAGCTTTAAATGTTGGCTATTATTCTAATTTTTTTTACTCTATCTAGAACCTCTCATGAAGTGAGATATTATCTTCTTATCAGGGGTAAAGTCTTGTTTCTATCTCATTCCCCATAAGTGTATATCCTAACACATACAGAACACCTAACAAAGAGTATTTAACCCATTGACTGATGTTTATATGTGAAACCCTAACTCCTAAGCACACATTTTGAGTTGTTCTATGGAAGAAAGGTTTTATGACCTGTGGAGAAAGAGAGAAGCCCCAAAGATCAACAGTTCAGTGTCCTCCACATTCTCTTAGTCAGGATAATTTACCAAGCTCACCCTGCCACGCAAGAGCCACCCAGGCCAGTCCATCTTACTTCAGTCTCTCCTGATATTTGGAGAATATAGAACAAGAAAAATAATTTGATAACCAATTACTCTATATACTGATGACCTCTTTTTACCCAAACCCAGAGAAAACACAGAAACTTTTGTAGAACCTTATCTAACTTGGCAAGGCCAATGGCCTTGTACTCCTTCTATACGAACAAGATATCTCTTTGTATCATCATTCATGATGATGTGGGTGCTTTTTCTAGAAATTGCTTTATCAAATAAAAAACTTAATACTGTATCCCCCCCACAAATCCATTAAAAAATAGAATAAGAAAAAAAACTAAACAATATTCTAATTTGAAGTACAATTGTTTTTAATTTCCACTGCTGGGAATTAACTGTGGGACTTCAAGTGTAATGATGATGATTCAGGCCTTCCCACATAAAATTTTTTAAAGGAAAAAAACCAGGAAACTTCATTATAATTATAAATGATGGGAAATTGGTCACACTTCTCCTCAGAGTTCAGCTTCCTGGCCTGTTACAGCCATTTCCAGGTTAACCAGCGGCACTTTTCTTGGAAGGGTGAAACAAGAGAAGGGGAAAGAGAAAAAGACCAACTGCCCAAGTTCATCTCTCCTCTCCTCAAAGGAATAAGGTCTGATACACGCAGAGAACGTGCCTCCCCTGAGCTTCTGAACGACTTAATAGCTAAATGACTTAAAGGCATGAGATTATTTTTCCCATCTACAGATGAAGGAGGTGGTTGCTCCTCAGGGAACAGCTAGTTCACAGTGGATCCTGGCAGAGCACATCAACTCTCCAAAACTAGAAATACTAGTAAAGAAAAAGCAATATAAAAGGGAACAAAAAAAATTTTTTAAAATACAAATTTCCCTTCAAACCTTGATAAGATTATATCATTATAGCTTTATAATCACTGGCATAGCTGCGTGCTCTTCCATGAATTCAGCTCAACAATTATCTAGCCCCCTGATAAGTTCCATGAGTTTCACGACACCTATTCTGTGTGCTCTGTGATGTCTACTCATACCTTCTTTGAAGGACAATGTTTTGACATAGTTGACGTGTAGTGGCCTATTTCAGCAATTCACATAATTACTCAGGAAAAGAATAAAGTTAATTCCCTCCCACCCCACCCCTCCAAGACTATAACCTCAGCATTTGTTCTGTTTAATGTCACTTTGGATTACTAAGAGACATAAAAATTCCCCAAACATAAACATCATTAAACTAAACCCTATTCAAGTTGAAATACAAAACACACTAAAGAGTCATCATTAATTCCTTCAAGTTTCTCTTTGGTTGTTTGCTGTTGTTGTTTCTGCTTTTGCTTTTTTAAACAACCCCACCCAAAACTCAAAGAAAAAACACAAACAGTGGAACACAGATGAAAACAATCAGTGTCTCTCCAGCTAGAGCCACAAAACAGATGCCTTTAGCATCCTCGCTCTGGACATATATTCATCAAGTGCTTGCTGGTATAAAAAGCTGAATTCTTTTGGACATGTTAATTTAGTTTATATTCCTTTCTGGAAAAAAAATGTGTTTGAGGTTTAGAAATATAATCCAGTCTTGAGAACACCAGAAATATCAAACAGCAGACATACTTAGTAATGTATGCAGCATTTTACGTATAGATAGATCAGTGAACATGCAATCCAAATTTCAAACTGACTTTGCATATTTCCAGACATTGATCCTGATGCCCCAGGAATGTTAATCTCAACATCCCCAGGCCTCCATACCTGTTTTTTTCCAAAAACTGAAAAGTGAAGAAAGTTTAGGTTGCTTAAACATACCCTAAGATGATTATTTCCTTTCAGAATGACAGTCTCAAACTCAGCAGTAAAAGGAAGTGGAAAGGATATATAGAGTCAGACCAGCTTAAGTCTACATCTTGCTTCCTCTTTAAGAGCTGTGTAACCTGAGGCAAGTTATTTAAACTTTCTGGTCCTAAATTATCAATAACATGTGGTTCGAGGTGCTGTTTCTGGGATTAAATGAAGTAATTTTTATGACAGCTTCTGGGCCAAGTCCTTTATTTGAATCCAAAGCTCCAATCCATGAGCCCAAGAACTACAGCCATAACACACATTCTGTGTCCTCCTTACAAGGAAAGCCTGCTGGAGACACTCTGATGTTCTGTGGAATTAGACATCCAGCAGGAGGTAGGGATAGTGGGAAATTCCCTGATCAAAGGCTTCCATTAAATAAGAGTACACTGCAGCTCTCTTTTGGAGCCAAGGACTTCCCTGAACTGTCATATCAAGGGATATATCAAAGAAGGCAAGCTAAATTATAAATTACTAAGGCAATAAACTCAATATAATGAAAGTATCCAGAATTTAAACTTTCTCATGTATGTGAAAACATATCTAAATTTTCTGGAAAGCATAAGACAAAGGGATAACACTGGAACAAAGTACAAAAATCATTCCTCATCAAGTTCAATGTTTAAGATCTAAACCCAATTCTGTGCCTACATTTCTCCCTCTATCTAAGAAAAAAAACAGCAAATTGGGTACTCATAGTCATCAGTGTGCACTATCTCTGAACTAAGAACCTATAGCTCTTTACCAAGCTAGGTAGAACACCTCCATATGTCCACCCTAGTTCCTATGAAATTTCTGGAAACTTTGTCTTCTGCATTTTCAATTTATTACCTTGCAAATCTAAAACCAGCAGTTCTCCCCGGGTATATTCATAGGTCCAGTGAGAAAAAGCCAACATCAGTTCCTCCAGGGTATTGGTGGGGGCAATTTCATCGCCATTGTTGTTGTTGTATTTCCGGAACTCCCCTGTCATGTATTTCTCAATGGTTAACCATTGGTTGGCCGAATGGCAGTAGACCAAGGAAACCTCGAGAAACCTGTGTAAGACAAAAGAAGCCAATGATCCCCCCACTATATAGTAAGCATGGCAACTACCCTACAGAGCACTCGGCCACACAGCTCACCTACCCTTGGCCTTTCTATGGGAGGAAGGAACAAGACAACTGGGAGGTTTGTTCCCATGCTTACTTGCCTCCCTTTTCTTTGAGAAAAATTTTCCAACTTTTTTATGAGTACCGGATCCATTTTTTCTTGCCAGGCTCTATAAAATTTCTTGTAAAATGAGAGAAAAGGCTTTATTCTAATTCCTCCACACCAAGTTATGATCTGCCTCAGTAAGTGAATACAAGCATATGAAGACACCCAAGGGAAAATCGTGAGCATTCGTGATTGCAAACTTCCTAATTGGTTTAGGATGCTAGGGAAGCAACTAAGCTTTAAATAGACATGTTTTGAGGCCATAATACCCCTGGGCATTAGCAACTACACCCAGCATCTGCCTGTCTCACCTAATTGAAATGTTGATCATCAATCTGTCTGAACTTTTTTCCACTCACGTGAGTTTAGGAACCTAAACCAAGATACATCGGGAACATCTAATTATCTTTATACCAGTTTGTATAACTATGGAAGGAAGAACCCCAAAAAAGACCATTGGAGAACTTCCCCATGGGTCTGTTACTTCTCATGTCTAAGGGGGGCTGAGAAGAGGTTAACAGGGACTCTTCTTATAATGAAGAGCCACGCGCCAGGTTTACCCACCTTGGTGTATAGGGAATGGTTTGTGGTTTTACTTGGTTGAAGGTATAGATGAGTTTTTGGGCAGCTCTTTGCTGTTGAATTTCCTTTAAGAAAGAAAGGAAGGAAGGAAGGAAGGAAGGAAGGAAGGAAGGAAGGAAGGAAGGAAGGAAGGAAGGAAGGAAGGGAGAAATATTTAAAATATATATATATCAAATGCATATGCAATCAATGTCAGTTATCCAAAATAATTATAGGAAAAGACATAATGAGTTTGGGAGTATATCAGGGGGCATGGGAGATGTTGGAGAGAGAGACAGGAGTAGAAATGTAAATATATCATTCATGAAATTCTCAGAAAAATTAAATAATTATTCACTAACATAGTCTTGATACTAAAGATCAAACCATTCCTAGACTCACCAACATTCAATATCATTTACCATCTACCACTCTATACCCCCAAAGCAAATGTCCTTCACAACAAAAGTAATAAAAACCACCACCTTCAAACATAACAGACTCTCTTCAGTTGAGAAAAAAAACACCTTAGTTAAAGACGTAACCAGACCTCTGTGTTTTTATCTTGTTCTTCCTAGGCTTTCAGTGTCTAAGGTTTAGGCTTACCCTAAGACAAAGATGAAGCACCGTGCTCTCCTGGAAGATTTTATACCATGTCTGCACAACCTCTGGGAGAAAAGACTTCACAATGAAAACCTGCCCAGGCTTGAGAACATCATCCTCAGACCAGGTGCTGATAACTCGCATGGCTTTACGGAGGCCCCCATCCATTTCCTCTTGTGACAGCACCTGGATCATGGCAGCTCTGCCATGCTGGGACCAAGAGGACATGCTCTTATCAAGGGTGAGAGGGGAACTTTCTTCAAGCTTGTAGATGGTCACTTCCTCTCCTGCTGCAATAAGAAATAAAAGCCAGTTAAATAAAATACCAGGTCTGGAGTGTGACTAGTGCCCTGAAGATCAAGTGAGAATCAGGTCAGTTGTCCCTGTGACCAGAGGAGGGTACAGCTAGCAGGAGCTACAGCAGAGTCAAGGTACAAATTGACCTGACTTGTCCTCTAGTGAAGGTGAGGAGGGTAAGGAGGAATAAACCATCAAATGGCATATAAGAATTAAGTTGTACTTACTATAAACTAACTAGTTATCAGTATTAAAAGCAGTATGGTTATGTCAGCATTGCTAGACTTTTTATTGGAGGCATGATTTACTTTATAACTAAGGCTGACCTAGCTAGCAATCATTATGTATCCCAGGCTAGCTCCAGATTTTTGGTCCTTTCATCCTACCTCCTGAATGATGAGATTATAGGCATGTGATAATGACACCCTGGCTAGAGACAAATATTCTACAGAGACAATTTAACCTGTAGTTATTCATTACTAACCCCCTAAGGAGCAAGTATTTTTATAACTATCCTTCATATAATATACACATATTTATATGTATATCCATGCTTTATACATAAACATTATGGATTTTGTTTTCTGGGTGTGGTTTTATTTATTTCTCTTGCTCTGCAGAGGGTAATTTTACTCCACCAATAATGCATGTTTTTACCCAGTGGAAATCACTCAGTTGCAATGTCATATACCCTGAGATCCTACCTTTTTCTTTTGAGCCTGTTAGCAAGCTACTAAAATCCTCCATCTCCCCATCAGTAAGAATGAATGATAACTTCTGTTTCAGTGGTTTGCTGTACAGATTACGTATGTCATCAGGGTTAGAGCAAGCTAGGACCTCAGGTACAGACGTAGCCTCTCTTAAAAATAATCTATCTACAACACACTGCTCCTATTTTAAGCTTATAGAACACACAGAGGTTCTCTTGAGGTTGCAATCCATTGTTTATACCCTTTATACCTTCCTTATAGCTTTACTTCAGATATACCCTTATGTTGTTGTTATTGTTTGCCTTCTTGTTTGTTTTCTGTGAGCACCATAGTAAGTTATCAGAAAGGAAGCCATCTATTCTCTCACCCCTGTATCTAATTCCTTATCAATAAATGTATCCGGAGAATGTGTGGTATATTCTCAAATGCTTATTCTTGATGCTCAAAGTAAATGCCACTGAAGAGCTCTTTGGAGTCCTAATTCCTTTAGGACTTTAGAGAAGAGCTACTGATTTGCAAAATGAACCATGGAGCCAAGAGGAAGAAGGAAGCATCTGCATAAACAATCAGAAGCCAACCTGGTCTTTCCCCCATTGGAACAGTGTGAGGAGCCTGAGGAGGGAAGGCAGTGTAGGGAACCTTTGTTATACTGTCAACTGTGCTTTATCCTGCTAAGCAGAAAACCTTGGGTACCCTTGGCTAGCACGAACTTACTTCTCTTTACTTCTCCAGCTTTTAAAAACTACACTTGCAGTCGGAAGAAAGAGCAATCCATGTATGTGAAACAAAACAAATAAATATAAAACGACAAACAAAGGATTTTTCTTCCCATGCCCTTCAGCTTTCAGTGTACTGACATGTCGTGCTTTCTTCTGTGTTCATTATATAAGGTTGGTTTGTTCTTTTCTTCCCTATGCGTGTGTCCAGCCTCGAATCACTGAATGCCAGGTGCAGGATCACGCTTGCTTCCCAACCGCTGACCCATGTAGGTCCCAGCCCCATACGAGCAGCTTCTGACCCTAAATGCTGCCCACAGTAGTTAACAAGAATCTCTACTTTGGGAAGTGAATCTCCTTAATCTACAACATGGACAAAATAAAATTTGTGAGTCAAATGAGGCACATGGTTTCTTTTCTGTTGCATGCCGACATTCAGTCTACCCTCGCCCAGCCTCAAGAAGGGGGAGATGTTACTCACTGAACAGCTGGATTGGTGTAAATGGTATGGTCTGAGACAGTCTCATTAAATTATTCCTTTCAATGGCTGCAAACAAAAACAGATTGACTAATTTAGGACTGTATCAACAATTAAACCTACAGAAAGCCCCACATACAAGAATACACATCAATTCCAGAATATTTCATTTCAAACATTGTTTATTTTTTTCACAAGCAAAAACTATTATAAATAATAGTTTTAAATATAAAGTATGCCTCAAACCAGAAGGATATCTTAGTCTAGGAAACTTTTCTATGAGGTTATATAACATGGCCTGTGAAGGGGCCATCTTCTCACTCTCCCAGTAACAAATGAGACACTAATTCAAATAGTGTGCCATTCTTTCTTATAAATGGATTTTAATCTATGTTCCACATTCTCCGGTTTCCTTTTTCCAAAGCAAACTCAGCGCACAGTGGTCTGTGGGGACATCTACTGTTGGTTTTGTGGAGTTTGTCTTCTTTTTCCCAGAGAGAATGGAACACTAATTTTAATTAGAAGTGAATGATCTGCATTTTCCTGCCAAGAGCCATAGCCTAACAGATCAGAGTCTGTGAGTTACAGTATTCCTCGCTAGAGACTCTCTACAGCTGGCAGTTAGAGTCAAAATAATAGATTACTGCTGAGGTATAGGAGCCAGTCATAGGAGCCTAGAATGAGAAGGCTGGAATCCACAGATCCATTATTCACCACAGAGGAGAATTCAGGATGAGACAGTTTATTATGGGACCCTAAACAAATGACCTTCATATAATAAGACCAGTAATTACAGTGCCGGTAAGGTTTTGTTCACACTGAGTGCTAAACTCAGTAAAAGCCCTGTCCTCGTGTTATCTCACCTGAGCTGTGACCCCGGAGGAACCAAGTGTGGCATAAGTCCAGCTGGTCTAAGTTAGTTTGCATCTCAAAATATGTGCCTCTTAGTTCTCAACTAGCCCTTCATCAGACTGTCCCTCAGAAGGGGCGAGGACAGTCATTCTCACTCTGAAAGAAAGACATCGGAAGTGCTGTGAAGCATTGCCTAACAACAGAGTAGAGACCCTTGACGTCTCTGTTTAATGGCATCTTTCCAAGGCACGTTTGTTGGCTTTATTCTATAAGGGATGACCTCTATTCAGTGGTTCTGTTTACTGAGGGATCTGGACAGTACCACCCTACCTTTAAGAAGGACTTTCAAGCCTGCCCTTTCCCAGTTCAAAATATTGGGATCAGGCTGGTGTATATAGCTCACTTTTCCAGCAAGGTTCTGGGTTCAAGCCCCTGAATGGCAAAAAGGTAACAGTACAAAAGAAGATGTTCAAAACACTAAGCTATCTGGGTTTTGGCTAGCACTGGTTTTTGGCTTACAAGAAAATTTTAGACACCAAGGGCATCTTCTTCCAAATTTGCCAACACACATACACATTTTTTTAATGTGAATTTTTTTAAATTCCAATAAGTTGTTTTTCTGAGTCTAATTATTCCAACCATTAGAGTAAACAATTTTCTGAATTGAAGCTGTATCAATAATGTGGAGTTGATGGCTGCTCGTGTTTACAAGTGCAGAATCACACACATTTTAGCTCAGTTGACCCATCTGTGCACACATGCTTCCTACCTGAATAATGGTGGTGAGGCTCTTGAGGGCTTTTTAAGGAGGCTGAGATCTCTGAAATCATAGAAATGATTGGCATTTTAATTACTTGGCTGGAGATAAATACATGTTTGTACACTGCCTTCAACGTTACTATTCAATGGCTTAATCAGAATAGCTTCTCACTATCCAGAAAAGCTTCCCCAATATTCTTTAATGCATTATTGTGCTGCTTGCTATCCTGACAGCTTCCAAACATTGGTGTAATATCTCCAAGCATATTTATATGGGGAATTGGAGAAAGACAGGTAATATTAGCCTCAAACTACACTTCCTCTGAACCAATTACACCTCTGGGTTACAGAAGGCACGCAGCTGCCCATCACAACATCCCAGAAGCATGATTCTCTGAGCTCTTTGCCAAGATGCACCTACCCATGCAAAGACAATATTAATGCCAAGTTATTATCATACTACCTTACTGATTGAAACTAATGACAAAACATTACCGTGTGCCAGATACATAAGAAGGGGTGGCCAGTATCACATCATGGGATTTGTTAAGCTGTACCAGGACCCTGTGTTGGAAATACAGCACCTCCAGTGTTAACTCACTCTTTTCTATCTGTTCCATCCCTAAATCATAAGGCTCCAGAGAAATCCTTTGAAATGGTTTTGCTGTTCCATGAAAATCAAAATTAAAGTGGAGAGACTTCAGTCCCCTGGTGAAAACTGTTTTACACCTACTAGAGTAAACAGCAGAGTGAGCCCAAATTTAGGGAATGTCCGGGCTCCTGATGCCAGATAAAGAATGGAGAAAGCATCCTTCAAGGTGGCATACTGGGGACTATGGTCAGCAGAAAAGACTTCCATTTCTGAACTTAGTCAGTAATGAAGACTTTCAGCTCCCATTACAAGTCACACTGGACATGGGAGTGAGTAAGATACTGTGCTCAGACTTTAGAAATGTAAATACAGTGTACTAGAGAGAAACATGCAACTGTTATCACAACAGTTTGCTAAGTATAAATGATATAAAATCATTTATAACCAAGGCTGCTGGATTGCCCTACTGTCACCTGGAAGATAGAAAGTCATGATCATCTGACAGTGACAAAGCTGAGTTCCAATCAAGACATCAATGTCTCAGGAGCTCCAAGACCTTAGTTACATTTATTTAACATATTTTAACTGAGCATGGACCAACTACATGCCAGACAGCACAGTACTCTATGTAAGAGAAAGAAAAAGATCTCGAAGACAGCTGTTGGCTGTATGTGCAGGCCCTAGTCAACACTTTGGGCACAGAGTCTCTCTGAAACCATATAGGAGAAAGCTTCCACATGCAAGTGTGTGATTGGCTTCCTGTATGTGTAAATTATAACACTATCAATATTTGCAAAGTGAAAATGAGTCCAAGGGCTCTGCTCTCATTCAGAGAAATATCATGAAAATTACAGTCAAAAGAGATGATTCAAAGAATTCCAAGTTGAGGACAGAGCTCACTAGTAAAGTGCTTAGAGAACACAAGACCCTGGGTTCAATCTTCAATACCACAAAATCCAACAAACAGCACAAAAATGTAAAACCACACATCACTCCTTATTTATCTGGGATGTCTCTATTTTTATGCTGAATTCCTACTTTGTATTTGTCCACAAAACAAAAGAGAATACAAAGTCAAGAGCTATACAGTCTTAACAGAACAAGGAACTCTACCACCAGTAAGATAAAAGGAAGTCAAGAATAAATGTTTAAATATAAAAACTTACTGTCAACTTCATTTGAGCTTCTTGTTCTGTTTGGGGAACAAATGCAATTATTTAGAAAATGCTGTTTTAAGTCTTTCAGTTACCAAAACACTGAAAAATGATATGAAACAGAAATCAACATATGTGTATGGAAATCTCTGCTCCATCTTACCCCATTTTACCACTAGAAAACTTTGTAGCCATACAATTATTTTCATAGAAAAAAATTAATGCCAGTAAGGCATGTAAACTACTTTTTATCTATGCCCCAAGCTAATTGAGAAATGATGGTGTTAGTGGTTTTAATTAGCTGTGTGATCACACAACATACATAAGATTTAACTGTGTTTGTGTTGTTCTGGATCAATTAAACTAAAGGGTGCCTGAACTATGCAAAGCAGATGCCTACAAATGAGTCTGAGAACGTCTCTGGACAAGCCCACAAATCAGTTTCATTAGCCCACGTGGCCCCTAAATGTTCACAGGCTGAAATTAGCTTGCTTTAAATTGTTACTTGCCCTGCTCAAGTGCACAAGTGGCCACGGGCAAGTCTGAATAAATGCATTCAAAGAATATCTCCAGTACTTAGGGTCCTTAGGGAAGGAAGTACAATTACAATTATTGTTTAATTTCATGCTGCAATAACCCACCACTCTGCATGAGCACAAACTACTGAACCTTTGAGAGAAGAAAGTCATATGTCCTTTAGGTCTAGAAGCAGGCGTACATGGGGCTATGGTGGCAATTCCCAAGAAAGGCCATGTCAATGGAACTGAGGACCATAACTGTAAGTTACCTTCTACCTTCTTTATATCAACTGGCCTTCACATGAAGTGAGTTTACTCTATCCCATAGCCTTGCAGATATTTTGATGCTGTAACTACAAAAGTAAACACACACACACACACAAACACACACACAGACATTCATATATACACACACATACACACACATACACACACATTCATATATATACATTCACACACACTCATATACACTCATAGTTTCATTCACACACACACACCAATACATTCACATACATACATACACACACACCACACACTCACACACATTTATATACACCAACACACACACACACACCAGACCACACCACATATACACAATGTGGAGTGGAAACATCACCACAGCATAGTGCCAAACACCTGCAGCATCAGCTAATTGGGACACTGAGGCAGGAGGATCACTTGAGCCCAAGAGTTTGGGGCAAACCTGAGCAGCATAATGAGATCATGCCCCTTAAAAAATTAAAATAAAATAAAATCATCTTTATTTGGTTGGATTTCAAATTTTATTTCTCTGAATAAACAGAATTCAGGAATATACAACCATATTGTCTCTTTCCCATCTTTTCTCCCTCACTGTCTCAATCCTTGTCAGAGTTGATGTCTCGATAATTACAGTGCCAGTGAAAACCAGGAAACAAAGATCACCCTCATTCTGTGAAAGGAACACATGGAAGGGAGTAGCTTTTGAAAGCCAGTGAACAAGGCCTAGAGTGACAGTTTCGTGGTAAAGAACACTTGTTGCTCTTGCAGAATACTTGGATTCAATTCCAAGTATCCACCTAGTTGATCATAACTGTCTATAATTCCACGTCCAAGGCATCACATGCCCTTTTCTGGCTTCCATGAATATTGCACACATATACATAAGTACATGCAAGTAAAACACTCGCACATATTAAATAAAAGTAAATAAAACATTTCTAAATATAGAGAATAAATTTAATAAGGTCTTCTGGTTTTTAAGACAGAAAATGACTGTTGTTTTTATTCTGTAAACCACATTCACAATCTTACCTAGCTGAAAAGATATAATGATCAACCTGTGAGTGTGCTTTTTGATACTACAAAGGAATTGTTCACCTGCTGTCAAAGTGTGTGTGTTAACACAGTATTCTTCAATGGAGTTGGGTGGTGAACTATTACTAGAAACTGGAAAATGTGGAGAATAATTTATCCAATTCTTGCTAACACAAGAAATATCTTGTCACTTCACATGCATTTTTTCCTTCCTATTCTGATTGTACTAAACCTTTATTCCTAATCATCTTGGAGAATAGAATCTAAAAACCACACAGAAATACTCACAGAAAACTCCTGCTGAGGCTAGTGCTCGTGGAATTCCATGAGGGGTTTTTATCTGGGTCCTGTGCAGAAGGGAACAGATATTACAACGTCATAGCACTTCGACCCCATACTTCCAGTGGCACAGCAGCCAAGCACACTCTTTCTCCCTCTGCCTGGTGCAGGACCTCCCTTTTAACAAACCAAGGAAACACAAACTAGAAAGACCACATGGATAATGTCGGCATGTAATGAGGATACCTCCATAGTTGATTTTTTTTAATAGAATGAATGAAGTTGCTTTTATGGAGACATTGAAAGGAAAGCACAATACATAAAAATTTCTACAGCAATGGAGCAATCAGTTCATGGTCTGAAAGAAGCAAGGGAGGTCTGACTTGGCAGATACAATGAATATTTTTAATTGTCAATTTAACATAGTAAGAAACAGCCAGGGCAGGGGAAACACATGGGGTAAGCCTCTGGGTGTGTCCATGAAGATATTTGCAGAGAGGATTAACTTAGATGGGATGATCCACCTTGAAGGAAGAAGACAGCAAGTCCCAGAGTGAATTAAAAAAAGAGAAATTTGAAAGCCATGTAAGAGTCAGCATCCCCTTTCCCTGCATCCTGGTCTACAGATGTGTGAGCAAGCATCCTAACTTTGCTACTCAACTCTAACTGTTCCTATCAGGCTCAGGATTGACTGGACACTCAAACTACAAGCAAAATAACCTTTGGCTCTATGAGCTTCATTGGTCTAGGTATCCAGAAACATTACATCTTGACATCCTTATCATAAATTCATCACTGCTTCAGGTGATGGAGGGACAGGGAATCAAAAAGAGTATTGTGCTGGATTTACCTCATTTTATTCCATTTATCTGAGTCATATTTTTTGAGACGTGGTCTACTTGAGACAGGCATTGCACTAGGTGTTTTCCTGAGAGTTATCTCAGTTGAATACTACTGAAGATAAACTTTTACAGAGATAATGACACTCACAGGCCAACTGACACATGTAGCCTGATACATACACGTATGGAGAAGATATCAATGTAAATGGTAGAATTGGGATTTAAACACAGATTCTGCATCCAATTATCCTCAACTGGACGTTCATAGTATTTTCAAAATCTGTTAGATGTCATTGCTATAAGAACACCTGAGAATATCCATATAAGTAATGTTTATAATTCTCTAGTTCAGTTATTCAAACCAAGAGCAAAATCAGGTTCCTTGGGTTACTCTGCATCACACACCATGTATGAAGACATCACAAAACAAGGCATGGATTTGTAGGTGGAAATGATGCAGAGTACAAAATTGAACATCTGGGCATTAAAGAACCACAGAGAGACCTTCTCCCTGCGATGTTTTCCCATTCCCTGTATCTTATACTAGACTAATCACAGTAGGAATTCATTGTCTCCAGCATCAATCATTCTAGCCTTGAAAGACTCCAATTGGTAAAAGTTTCTTCTTAGATTAGTTGAAATCTGTCTCACAGTAACTCTTCCAGGATCTGTCTCTGAAAAGCATTCCAGAGAGAGACTGTTTCTCTAGCATGCGACAATGTTCACATATCTGAAAAGATGAACGTCTTCTCTTATCTGAGCATGCCCAGGAGAAGCAAATTACACAAGGAAAGAGAACAAAATCAACAAAGGACCAATGTGGAGAAGTTAAAACTCAAGCAAGGATCAACCCGATCATTGAATTCCCAAGGATTTCAGTCCAATGCCAGTTAAAATAGAGGCAAGTTATGGGCTGTGGGGTAAAATTAGTGCAGCAAAGTAAAGAGCTACAGGCACAAATGTCTTATAAAACTATCAAACTATTTTTACCTCTTGTGGCTGCCTTAGGTGGTCACTGGCTTGTGTGGTATGTCGTTCGAGTTCCTTCATTTTCATTTTCTGGTATATATAAGGTTCTAAACCTTGTTTTTAAAAGAAAAGAAATTAGAAAATTGGTTGAAATGTGTTACATTCAAATCACATTTCCCAAATAGAAAAATCTGGACACAGTACATTTATTTAAACTTAGATGTAGTTTTCTCTATTTTTAGCAAGTTTCACCAAGTTTCATTTTCTTCCTTTTTTTCTTTAAGCAATTGAAAACTGTATGTTCTGTTTCTATTCTTCTATAGCTGCATTCAGATTTAAAGTAGCTTCTACTTCTCTTTTGAAATTGTATTTATTATTATTATAATTATTATAAGTCATGCACATGTGGCATTTGCACATGGAGTTTACGGGACAACTTTATAGCTTCTCTTCAACTTTTGCATAGAATCTGGAGACTGAACTCATGTCCTCTGGCTTGCTAAGTGAACACTTTACCCACTGAGCCACCACACCTACCCTAACTTTTACTTCTCTATCAAAGTCAGGAATTAAATAATCCATGATGCTTTTCTGAACATATCCAGCAACATTTTATATTCACCATTTCTTGCATTCTATTACCCATACTTTAAAATATATTTAAAATATACTAGTTGTAAATTAATAATCCTTCCTTCATAAAGGCACCAGACACAAAAGGACAATAAGTAGTAATAACAACAAAAGACAGAAAAATGATACAATCAGCTTAATTGTTATGCTTTCCTTAGATTAGACAATAGATTTTATTTTATTATTATGTTTACACCTGGAATCTACAAAGCTAAGAGCTGTAACAAATGTAAGAGACAATAACTACATTTTTCCATGTAATTTTCTTCTAGAAAAAAGTATGTAAGAAATACAAAGAAAGCTATTGGCATATGATAAAATTGCAATGACAGTACTGTATTATCACTAAAAACAAAAATATTATAGAAAAGAATGTTTTGTATTTTCATAGGATGCTTAGAAATTTTCTGAGTGTATAAGGACAGCTCCCTGAGAACTGGACATTCAGCTTAGTTGATAGAATTCCCAGTGTGCAAGGGCTCTGAGTTCATTCCCCTGCACTGCATAAACCAGGCATGGCAATGCACACATGAAACAATGGCATGCAGGAGTTAAATGCAGAAGGAGCAGAAACTCAAGGTCATCCTCAGCTATACATTCAATTTGAGGCCAACCTGAGCTACTTGTGACTGCGATTTGGAAGAGGGCCTTGTAACTCTCCAAATTTTATTTCCTTACTTTTTTTCCAATTATTTCTTAAGAGGTTTCAAAAGAAACAATAAAGCTTTTCAAGTCAATATGTGTTCCAAGGGTGACACTAAGCCTCATCAGATCTGTTGGGCCCTTGGGGTCAGGCAGTTTCCTTCCCAGACCCTCCTAATACACATATCTTCCTGTCTGAAATTCACTGGAAAGATAATAAGTATTTAAGAATGATGTACTATAATCTAAGAATAAGTATAAAGCATGAAATGATGTCATTTGAGGAAAATGGACAGAAGTTATCAAATAAAGTGTGGTGATCTGTATGAAAATGGCTCCCATAGACTCATAGGAAGTGGCATCGTTGGAGGTATGGCTTTGTTGGAAAAAGTATGTCACTGAGGGGTGGACTTTAATGTTTCAGAAGCTCAAGCCAGGTCTAGTGGCTCGCTGTCTCTTCCTGCTGCCTCCATAGACATATGGAGAACTCTAAGCTACCTCTCCAGCACCATGTCTGCCTACATGCTACCATGCTTTCTGCCATGACCAATAATGGATTAAACTTCTGTACTGTAAGACAACCCCCAATGAAATATTTGCCTTTATAAAAGTTGTCGTAGTCATGTTTTTTTTATAGCAATAAAACCCTAACTATGAAGGAAGTAAAGCAAGGCAGACAAGGTAGGACAAATACCAAAGGTTTTTCTCATCTGTGAACTCTAAATTTTAAAGCGCATGAAAGTAGGGTGAGAACTATTTTGGAAGAGGGACCATAAGGAGAAGGAATGGTGACAAGAAAGGTAACACTGAATATGACTGAAGCAGTGTGATGATTTGTGTAAGCTTGGCCCAGGGAGTGGCACTGTTTGGGAGGTGTGACCTTGTTGGAGTAGATATGTCACTGTGAGTGTGGGCTTTAATACCCTAGCCCTAGCTGCCTGGAAGCCAGTATTCTGCTAGCAGACTTCAGATGAAGATGTAGAACTCTCAGTTCCTCCTGTACCATGCCTGCCCAGACTCTGTCATGCTCCCTCCTTGATGATAATGGACTGAATCTCTGAACATGTAAGCCAGTCCCAATCAAATGTTGTCCTTTATAAGATTTGCATTGGTCATGGTGTCTCTTCACAGCAGTAAAAGCCTAACTAAGACAAGCAGGTTACATACACATACGAAAATATTACAGTGAACTCATTTTTTTAAATTAATACATCCTAAAAATATAAACACTAAACATAGGTTATACTGCTTATAAAATACATATAGCTACATAACTAAATATAACATGTTTAAATGAAGAGAGATGATTTGTCCTAGACTTCAGTCAGGGTTTTTGTTTTTCTTTGTTTCATTCCTGGCTTGCTTATGTTTTCACTGTGATGAAAAATCTCACTACATAGCCTATACTTAGCCTGGAAGACACGGTTTTCTTGCCTCAGCCTCCTACATGCTCAGGCTTTTGTCAGGGAGTCATCAGCTCGGCTAGAGTTGTGTTTTATGCATGGGTTTAACATAGACAAAGGCACAGTCTCTGGTAATCTGTGAGTTAAGAGAAGACAACTAAGCTCTTGAGACATACGTGTGAATTAACGTAATTCCCATTTAATTTCTAATACTTCTTCCAGCTCTGTGTCTATTTAATTCACACTGGCTTGTTGAGGGTTGTATCTTAAATACAAAACAGGGTTCACTTATTTTGCCATAATGCTTTCGTCTGGACAGTTTGTTGTCCTCAGGCGTACACCACACATCATATGCTTCATAACATCTCTGTCCCTTTCTGACTAGAAGCCAAGAGCATCCCCTTTCTCATGACAACAGAGCATGTCTGCAGATTTGGCCAATGGCCCAGTGGCCCCTGGGGAGGGCAAGGGGTCGAGGTTGGTATGAAAAATTACCACGTAGTTTAGGACCATGGAGCAAAACCGAAGGAGGGTTTAAAAATAGAAGATCTTGCAGACCTTGTTTGAAATTTAGTGTCTTAAGTAATTTCAAATGTGTGTTTTCCTTGATCACATGCTTTCTTCTTCTTTAAAAAGATATTTGAGTGCACAAAGTTCAAAGCTGTATTTGTGTGCATTTCTGTTCACAGTCTGTCTCATCTCACTTTACTCCATGCTATGCCTTGCTTGCAAGTCTTCCCCACACATTCCATTAAGTTTACCGTTAAACTTGTCTACCTGTAAATACTCTATGGAGGCCATGGCGAATAACCAACAATGGCTGACATCCTGATCCTTACCAGTATGGCATGAGCTTTCTCAAATTAAGCAAACTCCTCTCCCTGTAAGTGAGACTGAAGGACCCAATTTAGGGCAAAAACTCCTTGAATATAAAAGATTATCTACATTTTAATGTTTCTTTTCTGTATCCTGATACCAAGTCCTTTAAGCAAATGAAACTTTGTCCTTTGCATGTGCATTATAAAGCAGCAAAGAGCTGTTTCCCTTCTTAGAGGCTTCTGCAGTCTCTCCTTACCACATCTCTACTCAAGAATACTAGAAACCACCAGTAGTTTAAACACTACTCTCTAGAGGATTCTGCCGGATGTTGGGATCTAAGGCTACATAATCACATACCTATCTGGCTGAAGTTGGACACAGAGAGCCAATTCTTGCTGAACTCTTCAGTGGCGTTAGTTTCTCCTGGCTCTGAATTCAATTGGTCACTTTGATAGCAGGCATTGACTGTTATCACCTGGAGAGAAAGTCACTTGCTCAAACACATGACATTGGTCTGACAATAGTTTACATTAATGTTAATAGAAGCACACAGCGGAAGGCAGTGATTAACCTTGGCCACATTTCGAATTATTTTGGACACTTAGAAAACCCACCATTGAGGCCACCAGGTCACACACATCTGTGCACACTTTCTTTGCAGTCATGATTAAGAACCAGAATGTGGAGTGGGACCTGAATGAGCATCAAAATCACTCAGGAGCAGTCCATTAGCTTACACCCGCAGGATTTCTATTCAGAAGGTCTAGGGGAGAGGTGGAACTCGGATCTCTAATGAGTTCCCAAGGGAAGTCCACAGTGCTGATTGGAGATCATATTTCAAAACACACAGCTATAGAGAGAGGGAAATATTTAAATTCAAAGTACTTGCATTGGAATTCTGTCCCAACAGAACTTGTACAAACTTGGAAAATAATTTACTATTTCCATCCTTCATTGTCTCCAATATTAAAGCAGTAGAGAGCTGGTTTACCATGTCTGTTTACATCTTTCCCAGGGAGAGACAACAGGCCAATTAAATTTCAAAGCAATAAATGAGTGAAATTATGAGCATTTGAGCTCAGATGCAGTTTCTAGTTGAACTCAGACCATTTGAAAGATTCTAAACTAAATATCCTTAAATGCTTTTCCCACAGGATCCTAACAGGTCATGGCACTGTCTCAGATGGTAGTTTTCTTTATCAAGCCAACTCTCTCCCCTAGCAGATGACTTTACATTTTTGTCTCTTTGCTTCTGCTTCTTTTTTTTTTTGACCTAATTTGGGGAGGGGGTGACTTTTTACCCATGAGTACTATATTTACATCATTTCTAACTTCCAACTCCTCCCATGCTCCCAACTCCCTCGCAAACTCATGACTTCTTTAATTACTGTTACATATATGTGTGTGTATGTGTGTGTTATGTATTTATATATATACATATATACATATATACACTATACTGAGTCCGTATAAATGATAAGGGTTAAAAAGTTAAATTACACCGGGCGGTGGTGGTGCACACCTTTAATCCCAGCACTTGAAAGGCAGAGGCAGGTGGATTTCTGAGTTCGAGGCCAGCCTGATCTACAGAGGGAGTTCCAGGACATCCAGGGCTACACAGAGAAACCCTGTCTCGAAAAACAGAAACAAAAACAAAAAAGTTAAATTACTTAATTATGGGCTGGTCCCTGGAGAAGACTGACTCTCCCTCTCTCTGTAGTCATCAGTTGCCTGTAGCACTCCATCTAGGAGTAGACACTTGTGAGATATCCTGCATCCACATTGGCCTATCAACTAATGTTATTGTGAAGATCGTGTTTAGGTAACAATATTTTTGAGATTTCATGAATGCAGTTGCCCTATAATATATAGAAGATGCTATCTTAGAGCAGACACCTTGGTCCTCTGGTTCTTACAACCTTTCTGATTCCTCTTTCAAAATATTCCCCGAGCCGTAAGTATCAGGTTATGTTCTTAGTGATATATTAGCTGTGGCTGAGCACCCCATGGTCAACTGTTCTCAGCATTTTGACCACTTGTGGGTTTCTAGAATTGTTTCAGTCTACTTCATTAAAAAAAAAAGCTTCTTTGATGAAGAGTGAGGAGTACTTCAAATTGTCAAAGACCATAGAAGCCAACAGAGAACACTGCACCAGAAAAGCTATCTGCCATAGTTTGAGAAAGAAAAACTTTTCAAGTATAAACATCCTATAAAATTCATGTCCATCAAATCAGAGAATTCTGGAAACCATGGTGCAGACTGAAGATAGGAACAAGCATCCAAGAGCTTATATATAAATAACAAAGCTATAATTACTGAAACACAAAGTAGAGCTAAGAATACAAATAGCAAAATAACAATGATAATAATTGTAAAATTACATCAATCAATGAGTATCTTTCAATAATAAATGTAAATATCAATGGCTTCCACTCTTTGTTTACCTCAGGTTAGTGAGCTACATTAAGAAACAAAATCCACCTTTCTGTTTTCTACAAGGGACTCAGTTTACCTTCAAAGATAGGTGATGTCTTAACATAAATAGAAGAAAAGAAGTATTCCAAGCAAAAGAGATCAGAAAGAAAACAGCCATCACTGTCCTAATATCTAATAAAATAGAAATCAAACTAAAACAACAAGAAGAGTCATAGAGGGAACAATTAACCAAAAAGACATCACAATCCTAAACACATATTCACTAAACACCTGTGGATTCAATTCCATAAAAAGCACAATACCAGATATAAAAGTACAAATAAAGTCTAGCTCATTAATAGTGGGTGATTTCGGTACTCCACTTTCTCCAGTACACAGGTCATCTGGACAAAACATCAGAATTAAATGACAACAGACATTAAATGGACTTAACAGATATCTACAGAATTTTCTACCCGAGGACCAAAGACTACACATTCTACTGAGCAGCCCGTGGAAGCCTCGCTAAAATGGACCACATCCTGGGCCACAAAACAAATCTTAACGAATTCTGAAAAGATGAAACAATTCCATGTGTTTGTTCTACCACAATGCAATGAAGCTTAAGATCAACACTAAATGAATCCCCAGTAATTACACCAACTCATGAAGATTAGACAGCACATTACTAAATGATGAGTGGGTCATAGAAGAAATAAGAAGAAAGAAATTAAAAGATTCTTAGTACTAAATGAAAATGAAAACAAAGCAAATAAAACAAAGCCACTGGGACCTAGTGGAAGCTATCCTAACAGGAAAATTCATAGCTCTAAGCACTTACATTAAAAACATTTTAAAGGCACAAATAAATGACTTAATGATACAACTTAAGAATTGGAAAAACAAGAACAAACCATACCCAGTAGTTGGGAAGAAATAATAAAAATCAGGGCAAAAATTGATGAACATAAGCAAAAAGTAATGATAATACAAAGAATCAATGAATCTAAGAACTGGTTCTTTGAGAAAGTAAGCAAGATTGACAGACCCTTGGGCCCAACTGATCAAAAGAAAGAAAGGGAGCCAAATTAGCAGAAGCAAAAATAAACAGAGAAATATTACAACAGACACCAAAGAAATTCAGAATACTGAATATAAAGGAATGCTACAAAAACCTGTACTTCGTTAAGTAAATAATTGAAAAAAATAGACAAATTTCTAGATTCATGGAAACCACTAATGTTAAGCCAAGACTAAATGACCAGCAACTTAAACAAACCCATAACAAATCAAGAGATTAAAACAATAATAAAAAGCCTTTAACTGCTTCTTATTACAGTAACAAAGAGAGCTGCATATTTCAAAGTATCAGTTTATTTGGAAAAATAAATAAATAAAAATAAAATAAAACATGAAAAACATGAAAGGAAGGAATTCTCACAAAATTAGAGTCATTCTGACAAAATGTAAGATTCATTAGACTAACATGAAAGCAACATCAGAATGTGTGGGACCTAAGTAATGTATGCTTAGAGGTAATTTTATAACATTGAATATCTCCATTCAAAAATAAAAGATTCAATATGTATGAGATTGTTGATGAACAAATAAAAGATCACTTTCTAAAAATGGAAAGAAACTCCCAAATCATTAACCGATTTTTCTAACATAAACTAGAAAGAGAAAAGCAAGTAAACCCAAAGTAAACTGAACAAAGGAAACAGAATTGAATTCAGGGAAAAGTCAATAAAATTGAGTTGGCTTTTCAAAAAAAAAAAATCGAAACAGATAAAAACCTAGAGCCAGGCTGATCATAAAACAAAGAAAGAAAATACAAATTATGAATATTCAGAATGCAAGAGACAATGTCCCTCTAGGTGCTGCATGAAGCAGTAAAATAATAACCAGAGGATATTACACTGAAGCTAGAGGCACAATCTGTAATCACAGCTTCTGGGTCACAGAGGAGAGAATAGCATGAGTGCCAGGTCAGATACACACAGACACCCTGTCTCAAAGATGGATCTAGGGAGAGGGAGGAGCGGAGGAGGGACTTACAAATAATGTTTCGCCAACTCACAAGACACAGACACTTGCCCCAACTAGCCAAAAGAATGAAAGAGATGACCCGAATTATCAGGCACAGAAATGAACAGGAAACATTCAATGAAATGAATAAAGGTTTTAAATACCGAAACAGACAAAACCAACTTATGAATTTGATAATCTAAACAGCCCTATGATTATTATAGATACTTATATGTAGTTAAAAAGTTTTCTACAAGGATGATTTTAATGGATAATATGACTGAATATGTAATGTCAAAAGATTATCAACGTTTCACAAACTCACAAGGGATGCTAAAGGTATATACCAGATGTAGCAAATGATCCTGGGATAACTCTCATGCCCAAACCAGAGCTGTGAGAGTAAGGGAACTAAAGACAATGTTCCAGGAACACAGGTGCAAAAAAGAATACCATATACAAACGTACATAGGCGGACCAGTGAGGTTTATCCCAGTAAACTAGAATATGCCGGTTTAATGCTTGAAACATTAACTCTGACATTATAAAAATAACAAAGTAAAGAAGAAATCCATCTAAGTTGTTGTGCAACAAGATTGACAAATATCATATTTAGTGGTGAAAGACAAAGCACATTCCACCAGAAATAACAGAAAAAAAAGCAAAGGCCCTGGGCTGTCTCCATTACAGTTCAAAAAACAAAAAAATTAGAAAGATGGCAGAGCTCACCACTTCTATTTAACACAATACTAAATGTTCAAGTCAGTGTAATCAGGCAAAAATAATAATAATAATACCAGATTAAAATCAAGAATTAAAACTGCATTGCTAATATCATCACCTACATAAAATATTCTAAATAAATTATCAAAAACTTTCAAAAGCAAAAGTGAAATATAGAAGCAAAAGCAAAATTGTGAAGTATAAGACCAAGGTTGTACACACATGCATACATACATACATACATACATACATATGTGCACACACACATACACATACATACATATATACACACGAATATATATTCACTACAATAATTAATATATGTCACAATCACAGATATCTGTGATATACATGTAACAAGAGATATTCAAGACCTAAATGCTAAAATTACAAAGAATTACTGAGAAAAGGTTTAAAAGACCTGCTAGCTAGACACACATTGCTTCTATGGATCAGACACCTAGTTGTGGTTAAGATGTCAGTTTTCCCACAACTGGCATGCAGATTCAGAGCAATTCTGTTCCAAATCCCAGAAGGCTTCTGTGTAAAAACTGAAATCTGAGACTAAATTTATATATAAATGCAAAGAACATAAAATAGCCAAATCATTTCTTGAAAAACGAAGGATTTCTTTTATGCATGATTTCACAACTTATAAAGTTTCGGTAGTTGAAATAGATTTAGTATTGGCATGGAGATAGACAGAAATAGAGCCACACATACTGTGGGTCTGTATAGTCAATTAGTTTTTGACAAATGTTAAGGTAATTCAATAGAAAAAACAGTCACATTTTTACCAAAAAAAAAATGATAGAATTTTTGATATCCATATGGGAGAGAAAATTCAATCCTTTCTTAGCCCCATATACAAAAATTACTTTAAAATGGACTGTAGAACTAATGTAGAAACTAAAAGCATAAGCATCCTATCAGAAACAAGAGACAGTATAGGTTTAAAGTCTTGGGTTTGAGGGTTTTGAGCCGCAGAAGAAAAAAAGTCAAATATTCAGTCAAAATTTTAAAAGTAATTCTCTGCTTCTGACAATAGTCATGACAATAAAGGAGAAAAGGTTTGCATAGAACATCCACAAAAGACAAGGACATACTGTAAGCGTTTACAACTTCACAGTAAGCAAACAAAGCAACTTATACAAAAGACCCAGAGATACATCCCAATGAACACATGAAACGTCCTCTAAGAGCCTGAGTCAGTACTGACTAATCAGTCTCACGATGATGCAGACTACAGAGCCAACAATATACCTGAGGTTAAGACTGTGCATCATGCAGACAGACGTGGAAGCAGAACAGCTGATATATTCATAATCTGCAAGTGGACACAGAAAGCCACATGGGGGCATCTTTGAGAATTACATACAACAGAATGCTAGCCTTCCTCCACCTCTCCCAAGTACTTGCCAAGGAGAAATGAAAGCAAATGTTCAACGAAAGACCTATATACAAGTGTTCACCCTGGTTTTCTTAGACTAGTCCAACACGGAAACAACCCAATGGCTTTCAGCTTGTGAACAGATAAACAAGTCAAAATGTGTGTCTTCACTCCTCCTGGTACAAAGTTATCATGTGTGCACTAAAAGAGCCAAGGGGTGAGGCCACTGACTCAGTAGCTTGAACACTAAAGTACAGAAGGAGGAGGACTTACTGGCACCTGGAGTCCCTGGGTCTTCCTCTTTTTCTTTGACAGGCTCCTGTTCTTGGTTAGCAGTTTTGCTTTGAGCCATGTTGACCCGGTCTCTGAGGATTTTGAATGGCCTGGAAGGAAAGGGTATATATGAGGATGCTGAAGGCAGCTGGCAGTAATGATTTCATTTTTTTGGCCGGGGGGGGGGGGAACGCATGAGAGAATGAGAAGAATAATTCTACTCTTAATAATCACAGACATTTTCACAACAGTATTGAAGCAAGTGACACTTTCAAAAATATTTCTTCCTCATTCGGCCATAAATGGATGTCTTTATCACACCCCTCCCCCTCAAAGCTCAGGGATGAGTGCAGAAATAAAAGAGGTGGAAAGAAACATTGCTCATAGACAGAGATGATGGGTAACTCCAAAGAGACAATCTTCTACACATAACAGGCTGCTGGACAGATGAACTCCCAGGGGCCGTAATGGCATGCATAAGACCCGCACAAGTTCATGGAGACAGAAATGCCAGGAAGGAGAAGGGAAAGTGGACATTAAGTTTCACCCCTAATCAGAAGCTATTTGCAATTGATAGCTGCAGAGAAAGTGGGGGAAATTGCTTTTCCCCAAGTGGAGTGACACTGGCTAACTCAACCACATCCCAGGCAGGGCAGGTCCCAAGCTCAGGAGAAGCTGCCCAACAGAAAACAAACTCCATGATTTTTTTTTTATGCTTTTTGTTTTGTCTGGGGCTTCCTTTTGTTTTGTTGGTTATTTTTTTGGCTTTTCAAGACAGGGTTTCTCTGTGTAGCCTTGGCTGTTCTGGAACTCATTCTGTACTCCAGGCTGACCTTGAACTCAGAAATGGAAGGAATATGCCACCACAAAAAGGGATCTATCATGACTGTCCTCTGAAAGACCTAACAAGCAGATCAAAGAGTCAGGTGCAGATATTTACACCCAACCAATGGACAGAAGCTGGTGACCCCTGTGGTAGAATTAGGGAAAAGCTGGAAGAAGCTGAGGAGGAGGGCGACCCTATAGGAGGACGAGCAGTCTCAACTAGCCTGGACCCCTGAGATATCTCAAACACTGGACCACCAATCAGGCAGCATACTCCAGCTGATATGAGGCCCCCAAATACATATTCAGCAGAGGACTGCTGGATTGAGACTTAGTCAGAGAAGATACACCTAACCCTCAAGAGACTGGAGGCCCCAGGGAGTGGGGAGGTCTCCTGTGGTGAGGGGTAGGGGGTGGCAACATTCTCATGTGGGGGGGGGGGGTATAGGTATGGGAGGTGGAACAGTCAGAGGGTAGACTGGGAGGGGGATAAAATCTGGAATGTAAAAAAAGATTAAATAAAATTTAAAAAATAAAGTAAAATGAAATGTATCTCACAGGGGGAAAAAGTGAAAAAGAACATGAAGTTGTGTGGTTGGGGAAAGATCTGGGAGGAGTTGGGAAAGGTAAGAGGTTATGATCAAAACATACTGTATACACTTTTTAAAAATAAGAAAAAAGAGTAAAAGAATAAATTTAAAACATTTGTTCCTTACTGTTGTTCTTCCAGGTCTTCCTCAGTTTCTCCTCCTTGTGGAATCTAAAGCTACGACTTCTAATGAGAGCTTTATCTCTGCAGAGAGGATTGATCCAAAAGGATCTTCTTGTCTCGGTCCATGATCCTGCTGGGCACTCACAACTCTGGGCCAGTTTTCTTGTGTTATCCAGTCCAGACCTGCCTCCAGTCTCCAGTGAGCCATCTCCATCTGGATTGGGGTCACTGTTGCAAGTGGAGGCCAAGCAAGTTTTCCACTTTTTTTTAAAGCTAAACACACCTGTTTCATCACTTTCTGAAAATGCCCAGTTCACATATCCACCTTCATCTTGCATGCTGACAGCTCTCGAAGGAAGAGAAGTCATTGTCATGGGAGTAGGCGTGCCACTGAATGCCAGTGAGTCTTGTTCTCCCTTGTTAGGCTTCTCTGGCATCTGTGTAACTGCCTCATGCTGATCTTTGTGTTCGGCTACCAATGCCTGATGAGAGGCAGCAGGAGTCTGCCCAGGCAAGTGGATAGTGATATCACTGTGGTGTATGTGTTCCAATGCCAGACCATCGATGCCTGCCTCCTCAGATGATCTGAAAAGACGTGGGGAGTTTTCCAAAGACAACGGAACTTGTTTTCCAGAAGATGGGACCAGAAGAAACTGGCCATACTTAGAGTGTGCTTGCCTGACATGGGAAACCCCAGAATCGACTGTCCTCTGTTCCATTTCACGTTCTTCCTGGTCTTCTCTTACATGTGAGGCCTCTCTCTTACTGTGTGTAACCTCTACAAGGGCACCCCTCTGCACTCTTGGAGGAAGCTGGCTTCTAGCAAGGCTCCTCAGCAAAGAAGGGGGCATGCTGTAGTACTGAAATTTCTTGCCACAGCTTTCCGTATCACTTAGAATCTTGGCACAGATGACATTGGTCCAACTATGGGGTCGTTTTCTGCAAGTAGAATCTTTTCTGTTGGCTAGAAGAATCTCATCTTCTTGCAAGGTGTCAACAGCAGAAAGGACCTTTAAGGTGTCAATAGTTAGGGCCGAGAGGTCCTGTAGGTGTCCCACTTGGCTGTCCAGGGATAGTAGGGAGTCCTTTATAAAAGATACTTTTTCATTCATTTCTTTGAGTTGGAAGAACATCTCTGATACCCTAATGGTGAAGATAGGGTAAACATCAATAAACACACTAATCTGGTGGAAATTGTTCTTGTTCTTGTCTCACCTTTCTTCTTCTATAGGTGACAGCTAAGGCACTGCTTCCAAAAGCTAAGCCTGCTTCCCATGTTCTGCTCTTTCTAAGACAGTAGGCATTCTAATCCCAGGTGACCTTGACTTTCCCTGTCTTTCTACTGTAACACCAAGGAGAAGAATTATCAATCTACACTTCCAACCTTCGTGTCTTTCTGACCTCAGAACCAGCTTTCCAGCTGCATGCAGGTTAGTTACCACAGCAATGATCTAATGGATCAGCCTACTGTTGTCCACTAATGTGTTTGTTCATTTTCATGACAAACATTGGAATATTGTCTATTGGAAAATCCTTTGTCTAAAGTTGAGGCATGATACCCAGTTCTGAAAGATATCTGTATTCCCTCTGAACACCCACACTCCAGTGTCATTCCCTTCCCCACATCCTGCCTTTCTGTGTTTATAACCCCTGTGTGAATGAATTATGATTTGAGAAAAAATAAATTATTAAAAAAATAAAATAAAAATAAAGTTGAGGCATCCTGATCTTTCCCTCTTCCGTGTTTTCATGTCTATTAAAGAAAAAGAGGCTGCAAATTTGAAAGGGAGCTGGGGGGGGAGGGGGAGTAAATAAGAGTTGCTGGAGGAAAAAAAGGAAGGGAAAAGTATGTAATTATTTTATAATCTGAAAAAATTAAAAACATAATTTTTAAAACACAAAGGTTCTAAGAAGAAGAAGAAAAACCTTAGCATAAACAAATGCAGAAGGAAGAAGATATAAAGAGTCTCTGAGAGAAGACGGTCTTGGGACCAGAGTGGTGGAGGAAAAACAAAGACCCACGAGCCTCCACAAGCCATCTGAAGCTAGCAAGGCAAGGATGGACTTTTCCTAGAGACTTCAGAGACAATGGTCCTGTGACACCTCACTTTTGAACACCTAGTTTCCAGAAACATGACCCAGTCAACTTTTGTTGACATAAAACATCAAGTTTTGTCTATCTGTAGTAACCCTACAAAACTAATGCAGCTACCTGAGCATAGATAGCTGTGATGATTAACTTGTCACTGTCCCCTGGGAAAAGAGTTTCACTGAGGAATTGTCTAGATCAGGTTGTCCTGTGGGCATGTCTGTGGAGGATAATCTTGACTGTGTTAATAGAGGTGGCAAGTCCCATCCAGTATGGAGGACATCTTTCCCTATATGTGGATCATGAATTGTGTAAGAGCAGAAAGAACAAACTGGGTACCAGCATGTATGCACTTAACTACTGCTCTTGGCTCTGGACTGTGCATGTGACTAATGACTTCAAGGTCCTTCTGTCTTGTCATCAGTTAGCTGCCTCTAGAATACTGAGTCAAATGAGCCCAATCTCCCATAAGTTGCTTTTGTGGGGATATTGAAATGACAAAAAGCATTGAGTTTCATTACTTAATACAAAAGAATAACACAAGTCTCAAAAGCAAAATGTATTGTCTCTGCTTCTCTTCCTCCTTGTTCTGTCTCTCTCTGCCTCTCTCTGCCTCTCTCTCTCTCTCTCTCTTTCTCTCTCTCTCTCTCTCTCTGGCTAATGTTATGTTTTAAGTTTAAAATATTGTGCTTAAGAGATCTGTAAAACAAAAATGCCTCTAACTTGTAAGTCCCACTGTCCAAGGACAGATAACTTCTTGGAATGTTGGAGGCTGTTGTCCAGGTAAGACAACGTGCCACCGTGTTTGCTTCTGTAAACAAGCTTGGTTGTCCCAACTACACAGGATGTTCTTGATCACACATAGGTGGGAGTTACGTGGGCAGGAAGTACATTGGAGTGTATGCTTGCCCCTAATTGGATGAAGGTGGGAAATACATTGCCTTGTGGGTTTTACCTTTATAAGCCTCTGACTAATGGAATTCTGCACAGTACTCTAGTAATCCTAGTTGTGGACTCTACCAGTATCCGTTGTCCTGGACAGTATTTAATAAAGCTTGCTTCAAATTTGGGTCAAAAAATGTGGTAGTGGTTTTATTCTCACCTGGTAGGATTAACATTTGCTGGAGTCCCCAGTGATATCAGATTAACCATCCAAATTCTAAAGCTGGACATTGACCCCAGTGCTGAATGGCTGCCTCCTAAAGTGCACACGTTTAGATGTTCCAAAGCTCCCCTGATAAGACATAGCAATTTTTCTGTGACATTTGATTCTTTTTTGATCTTGATCTGGGAAGTGGAGGAATTAAATGGGATTCAATACTTTTTCTCTCATTCAGGACAAAAAGCAAGATGATGTACTACCCTCCTGGTTCTGGATGTTTGGATATTGGGAGACAAGATGGAAATTGGCTATGTCCAGTTAAATGCCAAGTTTTGTCTGTCTGGTTTGTGTGTGAAGATGGGTCTGTGTTTTCTAGTGCGTCCCTAAGTTTTGTTGCCAACATCAGATTCAAGACAAAATGGATTAGGCTCAGTTGAATGTATGAATGATGGTGGCCACCACATTTTTTTCCTGACTAATCTCATTTGAGTATGGGAGCTTTCCAGCTTCAGTGTTTGTTGGTTTTGCTTTTGCTGTCTCTGCTGCTGCCATTGGTCACCACTAACACTGTTTGCCAGGGCTGCTTTGATGGCCAGAGTTCAGGATTTCTTATCTCTAAGCTTTCTGGTCACTGGATTTAGTTTAGCAGGGATTCAAATGTCTCTTGGGTATGGATATTAAAGTTGTTTTATGCTGTTCTGCTTTATTGAAAGCTTACTTTGGAGTTCAGTTATGGCTATCCCTTTTCTAGACTCAGGCATGTTTATTTAAAAGTCTCCTCTCTGTCTTGTGTCAAGTGAGTCACAGGAACAAGTGACAGGGAAAGAGAGCACAGAAAACAGAAAATAAAAGGGAGATGGAACTATTGGTTGCATTTAACAACTAAAACTTTTGCTAAAATATAAACCAAATTTCTAGATATGTGAGACCATTATGTGAACTTTTTGTATCTCAAGATTTTAAGTTTATTGGTTATAGTTAATAATCTGTAAAATCTGTAACAAAGAAGTTAACTTAAAACTTTAAAATTTGTAACATAACAAAAGGGATGTGTGTGTGTGTATAGTGTGTGTGTGTGTGTGTGTGTATATATATATATATATATAGATAGAGAGAGAGAGAGAGAGAATATGTGTTCTTAAAAGAATCATGTGATATGACACTATTTTAAGATTTAAACAGTATAAGGTTTGCTGCTATCTTAGCTGCTGTCTCCATAGGGATGGAGGCAGCCACATGGCTAGCAACTGTCTTTGAGGTTAAGAGGGTAGATGCCATCTGACTTAACCACCATCTTGATTAAAGGTGGCCACATGATATTAATCAACCAAGAAGGCAACAACAGGTCTCCAAGATATTTTGGATTAGGATGGATTTTTGTATGGTAATTTTTGTCCTGAAAACAAAGTCATAAAAACAAGGTTTATGAAAAATAAAACTTAAAAATAATGTTGGTCTAATAATGTATTAAAGCTGCACTTCCATGCATTCATATACAAGAATTTACATCATGCTGACAGTTAGACTCTGTAATCTAGGAATAACCACAGTGGTATTGGTTTTAAAGACATGAAGGGGTCATGGAGAACAGCTGAGACTTGGCTCTGTGTGTCAGGGCTGGAGTTTCTAAAGTGAGCCCAGGAGAGGGACCCCAGCAGTTTTGAAGATGCCAGTGCCATGTGATGGCCACCAGAACAACAGCTTCAGTGGAATGGAGCCAGCTGTGGCCTGGAAGTCAGGTCACATGTGCTGCCAGCACTGAGGAAGCCTAGAGGTTTGCCAGTGAATCCCAGATATTGACATTGAATTGTTTGCTCTGTTGGAGTTTGGTTTTGCCTTGTCCAGATTGTGGTTGTGCCCAATTTCCTCCTTCTTAAAGTAAAAAAACAAAAAATTGATTTTGTATGAGCCCATAGTTGTAAGGTTTTAAACATTTTAAAAAGTAATTTTGAAGTTAAAAAAATTAAATTAAAAAAACTAGGTATTTTTTAAATATTTAAAAATTTAAGGCTATGGAACATTTTAAGTTAATAAAATATGGTATATTATGATGTCTTTATTAATATGTAATTTTTAAAAATAAATAAGAGGCAGAAGAGTTAGGATCACAACTATGAGCATCAAACACTAAACACCAGAAACTGTGGTATTCCTATCTCATGATGCAGTAAGGAAATGACCTCAGCAGACTGGCAAAGCCTATAGAATCTCTCGCCTCACCATGGACTATCCAGGCTAGCAAACACTGCCTTAAGAATATATGTCTCCTTGTCTTTGTTAACTTTGTTAAGCTTTAGCTATTTAACAAACTGTGATATTCTGTAACTGAATACTATATAAGAACCAGGAAAGTAAATTTGCCAGTCTCCCTACAGACTGTGTTTATGATTTAATGTTTTATTCACAAAGCTTTTTAAATCTTTAAAGCATCAGTCAGAGAAAATAATAAAGCTAAAAACTTCCTGACACAAAAACATCCAGGAAATCTGGGATGTCATGAAAAGAATTAACCTAAGAATAGTCGGAATAGAAGACGGCGAAGAGTCCCAGCTCCAAAGCCCAGTAAACATTCTCAACAAAATCATAGAAGAAAAATTTCCCAATTTAAAGAGATGCCTATAAACATACAAGAAGCTTATAGAACACCTAGTAGACTGAACCAGAAAAGAAAATCTTCCCAGCACATGAACAAAACACAACATCTATAGATAAAAGAAAGAATATTAAAAGCGGTAATAAAAAAAAGGGGGGATGCCAGGTAACATTCAAAGGCAGACTCAGCAGAATTACATTCTCAACAGAGACTCTGAAAGCTATAAAGGCTTGGACAGATATCCAGCAAACTCAAAAGAAAGAAAAAGAATAAAAAGAAAAACAAAAAATAGGTATCAACCTAGAGTACTCTCAATCACTGTAGAGGAAGAAAACAAGATATTTCAAGACAAATCTAAA